TATCTGTACATCATTTTACATTTTTATATGGTCATTTAGTTTAAGACCAAAAAGGAACTCGATTGGATAAAATGAGCACATGAGTTCCAGAATTTTTTTGTTTTATTTAAATTATCGGTAGAATGGATGTCACTGTTTCTATGGTTATGAATAAATGATTTAATATTATGACAACTGAGCGATGGACACTTTTTATAAATACCTCAAAAAGGAATAAATATGTAAACTGACTGATTAACATGATCAATGAATAGCCTTACAACTATTATCAGCGTTTAATCAGTCAAGAAATATTATAATAAAAAATAATTCCTGGAGGGACATGATATTTTGTGCTATGACCTCGACATCAAAAAACAATAAAACACTTCAAAATCGTGTTGACAAACTTGTCAAACTTGTACATGCTCTTAATGCAGTGCAAAGGGGGCGGCCGTAAAGGTCGAAAGCAACTGGCTCCAAATCAGAGGCATTTCGGATTTTATTTTCTCTTCATTCAAGAAAGAGGCGTAAGATACCAAAGGAATATTCAAACTCATAAGTAGAAGACCAACTGACAACGCCATGACACAAACAACGAATAGCGACTAAAAGAAAAACAACAGTCTACAAAGAACAACACAGAAAACTAGATATTTACACTTCATATGCAGGTGCTGTTAGAATTTTGCTACATAGAATGGAATGTTGAAATCATCCTTTTTGTCGTAAAGTTTTGTTCTCAACCGACCGTCTTTGTCAATTTCTAGATGTATGTCAAGATATGAAGCAGACTTAACTGTATCCGTGGTATCCTTGATTTAAAGTTCGATGATATAGATGCGTTCAACGTAGTCACCAACATGCGCTTTGAGTACGCTCCGCATATTTTCAATTATTTTAAAGTCAGAGCTCTGTGGAGACCAATGTAGGATGATTAAACTCTTCTCTGGCTTCCACAGATTGGAACGGAAGAAAACATGACAAAGTGCGTTCTCATTTGGAAGGTCAATCGGCGATTTGGGAAGTGATTATAGGTCAGAAACTCTGTTTAGGTAAGAGTTCCCATTCTTCAGTTCATGTAAAACATACATCCCCAAAACATCCTTGATGCTCGGCAAGTAGTCTCCTCGTCATCGCAAAGACCAATACAATGAGGACGTTATCTCTCTTGGGAATTGGGTCAGACATACGCTTGATCAATCTTAAATGTTTCTTAACCTTTTTAACAATATATCATTGTATTGGTGATTTGTAATGTTAGTTAAAAAAGATGGCACGCACCGCTGGGTTTTTAATTTTGAAATAATTATAAAAGCTGACCGTGTATATATTGATAGTTGTCTAATTTGCGAATATTGGTTCTTTTTGGAACCTTGGAGAAACCATCTGACAAGAGCAAATTTTTTGTGATGGTGTTTTGGGCTACATCAAATTTTTACTCGCACCTTATGAACAAATGTAACAAATTATATTCATAGAAACACCAGCCTTTTCGCAAAGGTTTGATCATCCCTTTTGAGTTGCAGCGACCATCAAAACTTAGAATATAGAGATATTTAGTTTCATATACAATTCAATACAATTATATAGAAATAACATTGCAATATAGATACAAATGATATTGTCAACTTGTATTATGGAAATATCTGTATAAATTTGTTTACAAATACTGCCAATGTGGTGTTCTGTTTCTGTTCAGGGTCGGGTAAGATAACAATTATGTACTTTTTATCTTATCTCAGCACTTCTGCACTTCTAGTAATTGAACATAAAGTCAAATGAAATCGAGAATGTATTCTTGAAATATTCGTATTAAAGTTGTAGACAAATACTGCCAAGTCGGTATTATTCCAGAAGAAAATATACTGCTTAGAAAGGACGTAGATAGATTAAATGAAATCAATTCCAGAATAGACCATACACACTTTACACCAGAGGACGTTTTACAGAAGAGAGAGGAAAATACAAAGCAATCCACGCATGTTAAAGGTACCTATTAGTAAACAATATCCATGATTTCTTCTTTTTTATACTTTTTCTAAGTATGCATAACCGTTAAATGAAACGATATAACATTATAAATACCTAGACATACTGTTTATAGACAATATATTATTGTTTTCTAAATAGATGCATTTTTAAATTAACAAATGTTCTGATCAAAATCACAGCAAATCTTACTTATTTTTGTTCGTAAGATTTGTTTTTCTTTTGTATATATGATTTTGTCAGGCATGATAAAGGTTATATCTACAGTAGTTTCTACAAATCTACACAACACACACAAACACACACATACACAACAAAATAATTATTTATATATCTTTTCTGTTAAATTACGTATGCAAATGTATTGCCAATACCGAATTTTATTTTACGACACTTTTTTTTTGTCTACTGAACTTGAAAAAGAGACACCCATTTCTATTCATTTGTATATTATTTATGTTAGAAGTGATTAACCAGGCGTATGAAGGTTTTTCCTGCTCAGTTGCAATCGTACAAGTACGTTGACAATCTTCATATTGATGTTAATATTTTATGTGTATTATCTTTGTTTCAGATGCAACACTTCCGTATATTAGCACAGTGCCGGCCAGTGAACCAGGAGTTGTGGCTTTCTCTGCTTACATGTCAAAAACTGAAAACAATCCAAGCACCCATCACACACTAGTCTTTGATGTTGCAGATACTAATATTGGAAATGCCTACAAAAAATACACGGGCGCGTTTGTGGCACCAGTTGCAGGTGTGTAAGTTTTTGCATGGACGATATATACAGGACACAATGGAAAGACTTTTTTTGACATTCTAGTCAATAACGCGGTAAACGGGAGCACATTTGGCGAAAGTGGTGATAATTGTTGCTATTTCGACTCAGATTCAGGGACTTTGGTAGTATCTCTGAATCAAGGTGACACGGTGTATATTCGTTCGTCTCGTCAAGCAACAACACAAATTCAAAGTAGACTATGGCTCAAAAACAACATTTGCAGGATGGAAATTAAATTAAGAGACCTTTTTTTGTTCGTCAGTTGCCTTTTTTCATTGTAATGATGTCTTCCATGTTGTTATCAAATAGTCTGTTTCTATGTATGTTGGCGTTTGTTTTTGTTTTTGTTTCAGTTCAGTGTTCTGTTGTTCCGTTGTTTTCCTCTTTTAGTTGATGTGTTGCCCTCGGTTTTAGTTTGTAACCCGAATTGTTTCCGATTAATCGATTTATGACTATTGAGCAGCGGTATAATACTGTTGCCTCTATGTTAAATGAAATGGTTAAATTAAAGATACCTCAACTCTCTATAATTCCGACTGCGTCATAGTTTAAGAGCTTACGTTTGTAAGTTAACCTACTAACTTGCCTTACATTCTCATAAAATTTTTATAACTTCTGAAGCCTGTTTTTTTTTTTTTTTGACTTTTTCTTCTTGATACTGAATGATGAATTAATGTAAAAAAATACAAAATTTCTGCCTTTTACAACAAAAAAGAAACAGAAAAGTTAACATATTTTGAAACAAACTCGCTGACAATTCTTAAGGTTCCTGATTTCGGATTAGCATAAAAACGTGTGAAGTGGTAAATTTATTTTTTTACACTTATCCTCATTCATTCTTTCAGTGGAATATCAAAAGTTAGTTACATATAAGACAATAATAAACATCAGTTCCAAAATGTACTTATCTTTCTTATACCGATATAATAGACAACACAATCGTAAGTACAAATAATACCAAACTTGCAGCTATTGAAATTGAAAGCAACTCAAAGTTTATAACGTGATGATATAAAAAAAGAATTGATGTCGGCTAAACCCGGTACCCTTCTATTCTGTTGTGTGTAAAACAATCCGATGGATATCGCCAAAAAAGCCGCTGGTTAAATTTCATAATTAATTGTAATCGTTTGATTGTAAGGGAATATGTTTGGCCAACAAAAAAAGTATTCAGCTGAGCGTATAATTCAAATTGATATTGAAGCTCATAAATCAAGAACATCTGTCACAAAATTGGACTCATATTCTTCAATTGAGTACGAAAAACATTTTCATCTGGAGTATAATGCCATGTGTATTGCTCCATATGATATCCTATAATTAACTTCAATCAAGCAGAATTCGGAGATGTGATACTCGAATAAATGCTTAGAAAATGACGCTTAACAACAGAAAGAGAAAACAATAATGTACTGAAACTAAACTACATAAATTCACAATATATTAAACGATATCATGGAAATAAGCAAGTTTGTAAAAATGCTCTTTGGTCGGTTTGTTGTCTCTTTGACATATTCCCCATTTCCATTCTCAATCTTAATAGTTTCTATCCATATAAAAGGAATGTATATAAAAAAAATCTACATCAAGGAAATTTTCAAGAAAACAAGAAATATCATAAAAAGGGTAATAACAGTTCTAATACATTAATAGTTTTAGAAAATAAGATACAAAAATAATAAACAAAGATAACTATAACAATTATAAACGTGAACTAAAGTAAAACAAAAAGTGCAAAAACAATGACCAAAGGTTTGATAAAAAGATACTTGAAGATAGATGTATACAAACACACCTTGTTCACAAAGTCAATGGCAAATTGAGCGTGGTTTGGCAAGTGTCGGTTAATTTCGGGTTGAAGATTCGAAAACTTATCTATGGTGGAATACAGTTACCCTGTAGATGTCGTTTTGTTTTAATTGTCATTGGCTTGAAGTTTCGTTGACGTAAACATATGTCTCCTACAATGAATATGTGCAGAATGCCTTCTAGGTAAGTCCCCTAGGGTATCACCAGCCTATTAGCCTCTGCTTTGGCATGACAATACGTATATACTTTTGTTTAAATATAATTTGCTATAATAACAATTTCGAAATCATTTAAAATTAGGAGTGCATCTCCGTTATGCATAGCTCTGATTCCTTGTCACGGTGTGGCTTAACGTTTGGTTCTATTTGGTTTTATCAGCTTTTCAACGTTTGTTTTAGGTTTTGGACTTTCAAATATTTTGCTCTTGAGCATCATTGAAGAAATATTAATTGTGGAAATGCGCATCTGGTACAGTAGAATTGGTACAGATGATGTTATTGTTGTCTTATGTTGCGTATCCTGAAAATGTTTGTTTTGGTTTATACATTTTATCTAATAAAAAGATATTTCTGTCTTTATCATTAAAACAACGAAACATACTTTCTCTCTCAAACGTGAAATTTTAATCGGGATATATCATATAAAACTATGAAATAAATACATGGAAATGCGAAAAAAACATTTAATAGATAGAATTATACCTGTCCAAAGCAGGACAATTTCTAAAAAAATGCATTTTGTTTCTCTTGAGGATATCAAATCAATTACCTATCAATTGTTGTCTATTCAACAGAGGCAGGCTTATTTAAGATTTATATGGTGTACTTTCTTTTCTTATGTTTAAAACACAAAAATGCATTCCAAATTCGTTTTTCCTGAACTTCGATTAAAAACGTCAGCACACTTCCAGACAAAACTATAATGCCCAAAAACCAAAACCAATGACTTGGATTTTTTTCAACAAACTGACGCCACATTGTATTCCATACAAGAGCTCCTGCATTTCCTCCTGCTCCAACAAACCCCGCAACAATTCCTACGTGAAAAGGGAGGACATAAGGTACGATAGCAAATGTTGTTCCTTCTGACATCTGGACAAAAATACTGAAAAATATCATGACAGCAATGGAAGTTGATATAGTAGACATCTGACTAAATAATATCAACATTATACCTTCACCTACTAAGCAGGTAAAATGAGCAACAAGACGCCCTGCAATACCTAAATATTGTCTCATAATATCTGAATATATTCCTCCAATGGCCCTAGCAAAGAGATTCATTAAACCAAACAAAGATGCAATCAAACTTGCAGTATCTTGATCAAGGATACTACATTCATTTTTGTCCGCCTCTTTAACTTCACTTGTCATTGTTGTGATTGTAATGTTAGAGAATGAATTGCTCTGTTCTATACAACCCTCCTCTTTAAAGTTGTACAGGAAATATAGGTTCATAACGGTATTGACAGCAATTTCTACTCCAAAACACATTCCATACTGCATCACCAAAACCAATATAGTAATTACAGACCAAAACGTGTTACTTTGACTAGGTAGGTGTTTGTCTTTGTTAGTCTCTATCTCCGATGATGAAGGTTCAAATTTTCTTCCGTCAACATTAGTTTCATTTACAGCTAAAAAAAAAAACAAAACAAAAAAAAACAAGTTTTAAAGATGCAAATTCTATATTGAAGATAATTATTTATCGGTGGAGAAAATATAACTATGGTGACAATCCGATGGAGGCGGCTGTCGAAAAAAATCAACAAAACAATTCGTTTCTTAGATATAAAAGTGTTTAGCTTTAAAAAAAATATATATATATAGTGTTATTGTCCTTCGAATTACTTCAAAATTTGTCAAGTCTCGAACCGATTTTAAAAAACCCATTAAAATAACACTTTATAAATCGGATGCTTCCAAAGCGCTTTTTTCGGATTAACCTTCATCTGAAGCGCTAAAGTCTAACCATTGAAAGCCAATAATGTATAAATACTCGAAAACTTGAGGATCCATATGACCAAATGGGACATATAATGAATAGCGAAATCCACCTAAGGTCAACTTGACCTGAAGGAGTTGTAATCATAATTTCTTAAAAAAAATCAAAATTAAAGCTTGACATATGTATTTTTAATACTTGTCATATTTTTGCGACATTTTAAAGCTATCTGATCTTTTCTTTTGTGAATAAAGTCTGTTACCTTTATTTGCATTTCCGTCTTTATCTGAGATGTGTTCGAATCCTTGGTTGGCGACACCTTGCTTTTGCGTTGTTTTGACTGTAGGACATTTTGATGCTATAGGAAGTAGCCGATTGTTCCAATGTCCTTGTGGACAATCATCAGATGTGAAAATTATAGAAATGCCTGAAAAAAGAAGGTATAGTTTTTTAAAAGTTGGTAATACTTAAAAAATGGTATATTGGTAGTAACTTATTACAAAAAACTTCGGTCATGATCACTCAATTTATGAACATTACAAAAAAAGACAGTATAGATAGACAGATATTTTTTCTAAGAATCAGAATTTTTATTTTAATTTGTATCCGTACATTTAATATGATTCGAGTAAAAAGTCTATAAAAGGGCTTTGTGTATCTAATGTTGAAAAGGGAAAGTGCAGATGAGGGATGTCGGCGTGTTGCTGCGTCCCTTCGTCTGTTCATTTAGAAATTTATTATAGGTACTCTTTTATACCAATGATATCATGAAAGTTAAAATCCGAAAGTAATAGGAGATATAAAAAGCAATTTAAGAGGACAATATTTGAATGTTACCACTATAAAGATAAAAAGATGTGGTATGATTGCCAAAGAGATAACTATTTACCAGAGACCAAACGACATAGATTTTAGCATATATAGGTCACCGTATGTCATTCGGACAAAACCGATACCGTAAAGCAAGCTATAAATGGCCCCGACATGACAAAATATAAAACAAATCAACCGAGAAAACCTACAGCTTGATTTACGTTCAATACAATAAATTGCAGAACGCTTACACATCTGAGTAAATAAAATGAGATATCAGATGTTCATACAAATATTGCATTTCACTTGCGTGTATCCTACAAAAATATGTTTTGCTAATGGAAACCAAAAATAAATCATTTCGATCAAAACAGAACTCCGAAATTTGGTAATGACGATTATTTGAAATTTTGATTGATTTCTGTTTCTGTTTCAGTTAATGTGGAAACCAACATAAAGATTGTTGTGCGATCCTCTTTAATAAATAAAGGCAACAGTAGTATACCGCTGTTCAAAAGTCATAAATCGATTCAGAGAAAAAAAATCCGGTTTACAAACTAAAACCAAGAGAAACACATCAACTATAAGAGGAAAACAACAGAGCAACAGAAACACTGAACTGCAACAAAAACAAACGAGGTTAATGTGGGTAAGAGTTTGTTTGTTAAATACAATATAGTTCTTTCTTTTGTTTTCAAAATATCTTATTGATGTTGGACATAATTTACATACCTGTTAATACACAAATTACTGAAGGAACGACGACTGCTAATTTCCATGCCAGAAATTCGTCTGCTCCTATTACTTTCATTAACTGAAATAATCCTGGCATCAGAATGAAAGTAAATCCACCCCCTAGATTACCCCACCCACCAGCAATGGCATTAGCTGTTCCAACAATCTTCGAATTGTACATGGCTGAAGTCCAGAATTGACAAGGAACAAAAGTTCCACCCAATATTCCAACGAATAATCGTAATACAATAAGACCCGTGCCAGTTTTTATTAAGCCTGCTAGTGCCATTGGTATTGCACCAGTTATCAGTAGGCAACACATTGTTTTTCGAGGTCCAAACTTGTCACATATTGGTCCAATAATAACTCGAACTGCGATTGTAGCGGCAACACTAGCAATGCCAGAGTTAGCAAGATCTGTTTTGGATAGTTCTAGTTCTTTTCTTATTGTGGGGAGTAATGGTTGAATGCCAAACCATGAAGTGAAAGCGACAAAGAAACAGAACCATGAGGAATGGAAGCTTCGCATATGAGGACGAGCAATACTGAATAATCTAAACTGTTTTGCTTTTCCAAGATCATCTACTTCTATCTGTTTGGCTTGGATTTTCCCCAGAAGTTTGGTACAGCACGACATTGTTTTCAGTGATATCTGAAATTTAGATAAATTGAATTTATATAAAAACTCTTCAAAGATACCAGGCTTATAATTTGTGTCGTCTACATAACAATTGTCAGTGGCGCTTGAGGTGTTGGAAGGCTTGATATACTATAGATGCAATAGACATGCTAATTGTATGTCCTCATGGTATATGACTATGCTATGTCAGATTTTATAAGATAAGATTTCTTTGATTTAGAAAGTACAAACTGGGAAAACAATAACATTTTATTTATGAAAAGTCAGGTAAAATATAACATAGGATGTTACAATCTTGTTCTCTGTGAAATGTGTAACATGATCTTTCTTCCAAATTATATGGGCATGGACAGACAAATGGATTTGCCTGTACGTCTGTCTGTCCGTCTATCAAGTCAGTGTTGCCTATCTCAATCCACCACAAATTTGGTAGAAAATGTAATATGTGTGTCGATATTTTCTCTCTTCAACATATATTGTGCTTATTGTTATATGGCAATGACTAATTTGTATACTAATATTCGAGGGGAAATTTTTTTCGTATGAGAGAGTGCTTTTTTATATATAAAAGAGGTACATTTAACTTTAAATAGGTGCTTGCAAATTAACACATGTGGTACTTTCTCCATAATGTGGTTGTATTCAAACATCGGTTATAGTCGTAAGTCAAAGAGGGTGGAATAATGGTTCGGGCTATTGTGCATACCGCAACGGAAAAATGTCAAACTATAAAAGACTTGATCGAATACAATGAAAAATGTAAAGAGCAAAACAATTATAATCAAATGAAATACTAGTAGTCAAGGATTTTTTTTTAATCATCAGCTTAAATAGAAGGGGGTATGTTTCTGCTAGTTATTTGCAATATAAGTACTTGGTAGCTCCTCAAATATTTATACATTTCAAATAAGATTAAACATTACATGAGATAGTCTTAAAGTTCCAAAGATATGGATACTCTTCGTTCATTTTCTCACAATTTAACACAACAAATCCTTCTACGGTGTGAAATGGTTTTTTTTTAATTTCTAGAATTTAGACTGATATACTGTAAACCAACTTATTTCGAGGAAACTTTATTTCGGGTTAATTCCGACTACGCTCATCAAGTGCTTCAATAGACACACATCCGTATAAACAAAATATGTAGAAAAAATACAAAAAAAAACAACCCCAAGTCTGATTAAAACGTTAAGAGGACGATCTTGTCAATATACCTTGCGAGACACCATTTGAATTTCCGATAATGCAAGCTCGTGATGTTAACATCTAGTTAAATTTATCTACATTTCAAATGAAACATAAAGAAGTTAATATGCTGAATTTTAAACTCTTTTCGATTTAATTCGATGTATAAAGGTCAAACTGAAAAACAGGGGGAAATTTGTTGAACGAATAATCACTGACAGGTAATTTAATATCATTTGTCTCGTAATGCATGAATAAGAAATGATAAAACAAATTGAAGATACATTCAACCATTTCATCAAGTTACTTAAAACCATATCATTAAATAACATTTTAAAAGAACCAAATTCATCATGTTTTATTTTCCTTTCAAAATGTACACATGTCTCAACACAAATAACACAGCGTTGGAATGGAACTATACTTTTGTTTTTGTCATTTAGGAGACTGTCAAACGGTGCTCTGACATTCGTAAAAAATAACAGGTTTGATTTACACATGTTCCTATATAAAGTGTACAATCGCTTGGCCAAATTAATAAAATACATTGCATATGTATTACATTTTTTCTCTGTCTGCTTTATAATACTGATCTTTGAAATAAGAGTGAACAAATTCCTTCATTTTTCTCAATTAAGCTTATAAACAGACCACCATTCTAAGGCACATATAGTGTATCTATATCAGAGACAGATACAAAACCGGAGGAGAGACCAGGGGCATGTTTTATTGCTCTCTTCTGTACATCTCCAGAATATCTTCTGGTGAAGAATAAAAAAAAATGGAATCTGGATATTCTGAAGAAGAAGCATTAAAACACAAATTCAATTTGCAGTTGGGATCGAATATAGCAGATTTTTAAATGTTGGATGACATTATTGAATTTACGATCATTTATTAGAAACTTCAGTTACGTCAGCTCATTCGAAAGACATGACTGTAATAGTGTGCTCTGTAATTATATAAGGAGTGTAAAAATCAAAGAAAATTTAATAAATCGCTGTGTTCCAGGCATTTTTTCCTTTATTTTTACCTTACCTAACTTAGTTAAAACAAATCCAGCTTAAAGCTCCGACCATTTGATTTTTAGGAATTATCTTAAGCTTTACAAATTTTTTTCAATATTTGTCTGGTATATGATTGAAAAAGACATCTTGTCTATCTAATAATGTTAAAGTAACCAAACTGGATTATTTTTGCCATATTAAAGAAAGGTATTCAAGGTCATGCGTTTGTAAGACTGTCTTTACACCAAATCCGTTGGTTGTGTACGGATTGATATTTTAGTCTGGGAGAACATGATTTATTTATAAGTTGTATTTGGATTTGAACTAGCTTTTGAGTAACTGCGAGTACTCTTATTTCGGTGCTCTGTGTCTATTGTTTTAATGGCAGTTGTTTTTGTGCCTTCTATTGATATTTTTAGTTAAGCCAATTGCAACTGATTTTTAGTTTGTTCTTTTGTTGTGCTGTTACACCACTGTCCCAGGTTAGTAGATGGTTGAGCGCTCACAAACAGTTGTTAACCCCATCACATTTTTTATGGGCCTGTTCCAATTCAGGAGCCTGTAGTTTAGTGGTTGTCGTTGGTTCATGCATGTCAGTCATTTTTGTTTTTCGTAAATTGTTTTGTTGAAGGCCGCACGAATGCCTACAGTTACTTAAATCCACTCCGTATGAACTCTGGTGAATCGTTTTCTCATTGGCAATCATACTACATCTCCTTTTTTTCAAATTATATACTCGACTTTTAAACACGTGTCGTCCTGAACATTCATGAAGTATTTGCCACTGGACATTTAAAATAAACAAACAACAATCAATCAATTTAAACTCTTGTAAAAGAAGGGGACAATCGTCTGATATAATTATTTTTTTTAGAGGGGGGAGGGGGTTCAAGAGGATTTTCCATATCATATGAAAATATGCTGGCCTGGTAGGAATTGGAAAAAAACATGCATAGTAACAGATTGAAATGCATAATAAATCCGAAAAAAAAAATGTTTCTGCCCCTCCCCCTCCCTGAATATCAAATGGTCGTCCCCTTATTGTTCTTGTCCGGCTAGCTCTATAATATAAAACCATCAATTTTTTTTCGGCATTTTTCATAGGATATTTTTATTATTTGTTTTCAGTTGGAATATCCGATGGAATAAGTAAAAAATAGACAAGAAATTTGTGATTATATTTATAGAATTACTGTTAAGCAGACGTTTTAACTCGTGTCTTAGAAATATAACAGCATTGCAAGCAAATATTTATCTTCATCTAGCTTATCATCACGAAAGGGATCTTACAAAGGCTGTCATACAACAAAAACGTTTATCACAAAGCTCACATTCTAATATATCTGCATTCATAATATCATATAGACTAAACGATCCCATGTTTGTTATGTGCCTCTGCCATCTAACACATACCTTAATTTCTAAAAGGAAGAGATAGAAGAGAGACAGAAGATCTTCAAATAACAAAAAAAAAAATTAAAATGAACCATTTCTGTCTCACTACCGAGGAACAAAAAAAAAACAGGCCCCAGGTGTTCTGGAAGAGTAAACATCTTCTGAAGTTTACTTTATTTGTCATGGACCAAACTTTTTAGAGAACAAAAGTATATCTAGTCAGCAACATATATAAAAGCCAATACGACAAAGAATCTTTTATCAGTAGGCCAGGATATCCAAACTTGATACAGACATTCGAATTTAATTTCACTCATTACGGAATCAACGAAAGACCCATATAGATGTTATGTAGCAAACATCTCGATAGAAAAAAATTATCAAATATTTACAAAAACACATCAAGGTTAAATTGCAACTGCATATACATTTGTTTAGGAAGCTATATAAGACTTATATATCTGTTTATAAAAAGTTTACCATAACATTGAGATTATTCAAAATAAGTTTAATAGCAATTTTGTCATCAACGTAACCTAAAAAAGATAATATCCGCGAGAAGCCAGTTTTATTCAGGAATATTTGTATCATTTACTTTTATTGGAGTATTTTCTTGAATATGTAGATGTTCCGGACCATATGAGTATTTGAACCATACGCGTATGGTCATGACGATATGCGTATACTCATATGGTCTGACCATACGCGTATTTGAAATATTTAAGAAATTCTAATTTAACAAACACAATAATTCTTACTTGTAAGTAAAATTCGCATTGTTTCATTAATCATGTAACATTGATTACCATATGATTGAAGATGTCAAATTTTCATTTTAAGAAACTCTTAATTATGCGACACCTTTTCAACGTTAATCATCAGATAATTACCCGGACAATACGCGTATGGTCTGACCATATGAGTATATACACATATGGTCATGACCAGACGCGTATGGTCCAAATACTCATATGGTCCGGAACATAGACTTGAAACCCGTGTACGGGATATGTCTACTCCTGTCAAAAAAGGCAAACAAGAAATTCTGATGTCAATTTTTGATAAAGGAAAGCAATCCGAAAAATTATTCTGATCGAAAATAAAATTAAAGTGGAAAAATGCAAATTCTTTAAAAGTTTGAAGAGGGAGCTTGTCAATTCAAAGCTTTATTTATAGTCGGTACATCAGATTTGTCATTTTCATCATAACTATGGTTTGCTTTGTGTTTTCTTTCCATTAATGACTTTTGGGATATCTGATAATAAAGTGTTATTCAAAATGTATAGGTGCTTATAAATGCTTTGTTTGATTTATTAGTACATCGTTTATCAAAAGTATACCAATTTATGGCAAGTCGAGCAAACCACGCTATATTTGTGTAATTCAAAACAAAGTTTTAAGACAATTAAAGGACAATACTACACTTGTATTTGTATTTTTAATCTTCTTTGTTAATAACAATGTAAATCTTATGTGTGGGAGTGTATAAATAATAAGGTCGTTTCGATTACGTTGAATTAGAAAAGGATTTTTGAATAAACGGAAGAAAATTTGTAAAAAAGAAACTGTGTAGACCGTTGTATAATTGTAAAAGTATACAGTGAAAAAACAAAGTAGACCGTTGTATAATTGTAAAAGTATACAGTGAAAAAAACAAAGTAGACCGTTGTATAATTGTAAAAGTATACAGTGAAAAAACAAAGTAGACCGTTGTATAATTGTAAAAGTATACAGTGAAAAAACAAAGTAGACCGTTGTATAATTGTAAAAGTATACAGTGAAAAAACAAATTTAATTTGACGATCTTCTTTTCTATATTGTACAAACTGAACAACGTCGGAGTGGAACTAACCCCGAATAATACAGTCTCTCCCCGTAATCGATCTCTCCCATACTTGTTAATGAAGTAATCGTAGATCAGCGGAATATAACGACTGAATTATTCGGGTTAGTGGAATAAGTAAATAAAAGTCTGAATTTACCAAATATGTAACTTCATAAGGAGGGACCTGGGCCCCCTGCGAAGATTTTGAATTTAAAAAATAGTAAATTCGGATTTCTTTATGAATACACTAGCAAAAGTTATGACACTGCTCCAATCGACAATAGAGAACTGCTCCAAGTGGTAAAACAGTCGAAAGTTGTTTATTGACAAGTGATCGTACAGTGAAAAATGTTTGGTGTTATATATTTGTAAAGATTAAGCAATATTGGTAATTATATAGATTAAAAAGTTAAATTTGAAGAATAACTATAATATATTTTTCTTAATTACAGAGGTTAAAGTTTTTTTTGTAAATCTTTTGATGTCTTGATATAAGCTGCATGAACATAACCATTTGGATAATTTAGGTCGGAACTCCAAGTTTTATTTCAATTTTTCTTGCAGTAAGAATATTTTCTGCACCCATGAATTCGAATGTAAATACATTAATGACATGTATAAACATTTAGTAGCATGGACTACAAGTCAGACCCAAAGCTAAAAGTGATAAAAAAAAGACTTACCTTTTCCGTTCCTGAAAATTGTTTTGGATGTCAGAACTCTGCTTGACAGTCTCCCGAATGATCAAACTATTTATAAATAGATAGTATTGATAGTTAAAATAGCATGTTCAAAGACCGTATTACAGGTCATTGCATATCCATACCTCCGATGAATGCCTTAGACTGCAATAATGGTCTTAGTTTTTCTTGACACTATTGACAAACTTTTAAGCTGGGAAATAATTAACAGCAACAATATTTACTTTCGTTTGATCGGTGAATAAATATGCATTACTAATATGACGAATCAATTTAGAATTGAACAAAGAAATTAATGTTTTAGGAGACATTGAAATTCGTGAAGATCAAACAAAATATGCATTTGTAATTCAACATTTTTTGGGCTAGATTAAAGTCAGCCTGTTGACACTGTTATACTTTTCATCAAACCTCTTGGTCAAAGGAAAATTGCAACAAAAAGAACTCGGTGAATGTCATCTGTTTTTGGCGAATGGTCAAGGAAAAAACACGAATTTGGTGTTTACAAATAGGAAAATGACGATAATAAACTTCTTTTTGAATATAATGATTACATTGCTCTTTCACAATTGTTTCTTTGTTTTTAAAGGCAGTGCTTTAATGCCTTTCTAGTTGCCGGGTTAATCCTTCCTTCCGCGATATCCAACTTATCTACGTGGGGGGTCATTAGGCTCGAAGTAGATCCGGAAATGTTGAATTCTCTCCTCTTCTTATTGTGATATAAAATGTTTTTTGTTTCATTTCATTTACATTGGTAAATAGAGAAACGATCATTGTGTTTTGTTAGTTTTAAAAACTTTTGATTTATTTGTATTTTGCATTATAAGCAGTCAACCGATTGACAAACTAGAATTATTTGAATTCCGTGTGGAAAGAGCTCGGGTTAATTTCAAGTGTTATCTGCAATCTAGATGTTTATAAATCATTTAAGTCGTTGATATAATAATTAAGAGTCGACTGAACATTAATTATATTATACAATTTAAAGCGCATTTCTGTCTATGCACGTGAACCCGTCTAACGGTATTGTTATTTCGCAGTTATATAAAGTAGCAAATTATCGTTCCTGAATAGGTGGCGCCGTGGTAGACGATCCTGTTCCTCAACTTCCGGTTTCTGCACTGTGCAACTATTTCAGTTACATTTTTAATTAACGATGCCAAGAACTTGTTGTTGTGTTCCTGGATGTCATTTAAGAGGAGGACATGCATTTCCAAATGACTTAAAAAGAAGTAAAAGTTGGATCAACGCCATGGCCCAAACGCAGATTGGACGAGAACACGATGAAATCGTGGAGTCCATCTCAATCAGCTGTTGTTTGCAAGGCACATTTTACTGAAAAAGACTACGTGCAGGAAACTATTCATGGTAAAACTCTATTTTCTTTTTGAAATATATAGTTATATATGTAATCGCCATGCGAATAAACCAAAGTATGTTTACAACCGCAATTATCGTTTTAGAATAAAAGGGGGTGGTTAATTCAAGACGTCATAATTTTTTGGATTACGATTCAATGTGATCTGTGTGAGATTTTTTGGTGATTGCTACAATTATAATGATTTCTTACAAGAGGTCTGTCATACTGAGAATTATTTTAGCAGTAATTATGCTAATGTAGTAATGACAGGAATGCATAAGCTATGCCTCATAGACTTTCTTGAAAAATATCAATGACAATGTTAACAGGAACAAAACAGTGACATGCTCTCATCTATATTATAGTTATTTAGGTACAGACAATGTACGTTTGTTGCATAAGTCTCTCATTGTTTGTCCTTTGGATTTACATAACATACATTGAATCAGGCAAACATAGTTTTATCCAGATTGTAATGAATAAATCTAGTTAATATTTCGCCAGGTAATACAAAGTATACATTGCTAATGGAAGTTCATTTAATTATCAAAAAACTAATGTTTTATAACCTTTTTCAGGGCGCAAACCCACCATACAGAGACTTAAGTCTACTGCCATTCCCAGCCTATTTTCCTGGACCAAGCAAGAGACTGAATCGTCCGCAAAAAGAAAAATCAGGGCAGTTTCCTGTGAAAACAAAAGAACTAAACTTGATGAATATTGTAGTAGAAATCTAGAGGAAAGTTTTGATTGTAAAGTTGGTTTTCCTGAAGAAGTCATTCATACTGCAGAAAGGATTTATGACTGTCCACCACCAACTGCCGAGCTAATGTTGAGCTTCCAAGATGGAATTATGCAAACACCATCAATGTCTATGTTTTCAGCAGAGAATTTTGAAATGAAGACACGTGACACAGCCATGCATTTTTATACCGGTTTAGAGTTGTATACTAAATTTTTATTTGTTTTGACCACACTTTGTCCAACAGCACATTGTTTGAGATACATATATTTTCAAATTGATAGGGTGTCAGTTGAAAATCAGTTTTTTTATGACTTTGATGAAATTGAGGCATTATACAACCAACTTTGAACTTTCTAGATTCTAGATTGAATCTAGTGTTAAGAATATTGTGTATACATGGATTGTTTTTATGCCTAAACAGTGGTGTGAGGCTAACACTTGGCCATCTAGTCATGCTAGTGGTTTAGTCAGGCATTTTTCGCCATCCAACTTCAAATTAAAGTTTCCTACGACTTGGATTATTATTGAAAGCACAGAATATCCCGTGATAAAACCTAAAACTCCTAGAGTTCAGGCAACCTTTTCATCATATAAAAACAGAAACACTGAAAATACTTGTATGTTCGACGCCTGGTGGTTTAGTCAACTATGTCTCTAATGCATATGTTGGTTCTACCAGTGACTATGAAATAGTTGAAAGATGTAGAATACAAAATGTAGTTCAATTATGTGATCCAGGTGACAGTGTGATGGCAAACAAAGGTTTAAAGGTGCAAGATTTGTTTGCTAACTTTTTTCAAAAAAAGAAACAGAATTAGTTCCAAAACTCTTATACGGGATAGAAAAGTCTCCAATTAACATGTGCACATAGAGCGAATTATTGGACTTGGCAAAACATACAAAATTCTCACAAATCCTATGAATGGAACTGAAACAAAACTTTCATCTGAAATAACATTTAGTTGTTTTATGTTGTGTAATTTTAGAATTTGTATTGTGCCAAAGGATGCAGAAATAAAAGTGACGCAATGCATTTTGTTCTGATATATATATATTTATAATTACATGCACATGTAAATTGTAATGCATATAAAAATAAGGAGATGTGGTATGATATTCAGTGAGTTTATCGAACTAAAGTGCATAAGAAATGGGTTTAAGCAGTTACAGGTGTTACTGTCACTGTACAGTCTCCAATAATGAGAAAAACTTGTACCGTGTAAAAAATTTCAGAGATCTTACCACTAAGTTTTGTTGTCTCACCTTGACTTTGATGAATTGTTTATATCTGTTGATGTAAATATAAAAATAAAGATGTGGTATGATTGCCAATGAGACAACTCTCTACAAGAGACCAAATGACACAGAAATTAACAGCTATAGGTCACAGTATGGCCTTCAACAATGAGCAAAGCCCATACCGCACAGTCAGCTATAAAAAGCCCCGAAATGACAATGTAAAACAATTCAAACAAGAAAACTAACGGCCTAATTTATGTACAAAAAATGAACGAATATATCAAATATGCAACACATAAACAAACGACAACCACTGAATTACAGGCTCCTGACATGGGACAGGCACATACATGTACATACAGAATGTGTCGGGGTTAAACATGTTAGCGGGATCCCAACCTTCCCCCTAACCTGGGACAGTGGTGTAACAGTACAATATAAGAACTAACTATAAAAATCAGTTGAAAGAGGCTTAACTCATCAGATAGATAAATACAAATACAAGTGGACGTGGTCGGGTAGTTGTACATCCAAACAACAAAAAGACACTAAGTACAGATCTGAGAGTACTCGCAGTTACTGACAGCTAGTTCAAAGCCACTAACAACTGATAAAAAAATCTTGCATCTAAGACTAAATTATCAATCCGTAAGCTCCCTTTAGAATTTTATAAATTTTAGATTTTACATTTCTGAGTTATGGGGTTTTATTGGGATTTTCCAGTTTTTGTCGAGCCTGCGACTTTTGTCGCAGAAAGCTCGACATAGGGATAGTGATGTGGCAGCGGTGGCGTTAGCTAGCTTCTTAAAAGCTTTATATTTTAGAAGATGGAAGACCTGGCTGCTTCATACTTTGTATATGGATGCCTCATGTTACGAAGTTTCCGTCAGCCACATGTCCAATGTCCTTGACCTCATTTTCATGGTTTAGTGACTACTTGAAAAAAAAGTTAACATTTTTTGTAATGTTAAATTCTCTCTTATTATAAGTAGTAGGATAACTATGTTTGGTATGTGCGTACCTTGTAAGGTCCCCATGCCCGTCAGACAGTTTTCACTTGACCTCGACCTCATTTCATGGATCAGTGAACAAGGTTAAGTTTTGGTGGTCAAGTCCATATCTCAGATACTATAAGCAATAGGTCAAGTATATTCAGTGTATGGAATGATTGTAAGATGTACATGTCTAGCTGGCAGGTGTCATCTGACCTTGACCTCATTTTCATGGTTCAGTGGTTATAGTTAAGTTTTTGTGTTTTGGTCTGTTTTTCTTATACTGTATGCAATAGGTCTACTATATTTGGTGTATGGAATGATTGTAAGATGTACATGTCTAGCTGGCAGGTGTCATTTGACCTTGACCTCATTTTCATGGTTCAGTGGTCAAAGTTAAGATTTTGAGTTTTAGTCTTTTTGTCGAGCCTTCGACTTTAGTCGAAAAAGCGAGACATAGCGATCCTACTTTCCGTCGGCGTCAGCGTTGTCGTCGTCGGCGGCGTCCACAAATATTTACTCTGTGGTTAAAGTTTTTGAAATTTTAATAACTTTCTTAAACTATCCTGGATTTCTACCAAACTTGGACAGAAGCTTGTTTATGATCATAAGATAGTATCCAGAAGTAAATTTTGTAAAAATAAAATTCCATTTTTTCCGTATTTTACTTATAAATGGACTTAGTTTTTCTACCGGGAAATATTACATTCAC